AAGTGCATTGAGGCCATTAGGAATTATTACTAAAGGGTGTGTATTAACTTCTGCCATTTTTTAATTTTATGATTTTTTTTTTAGAACTTCCTTAGGTTATCTATTCTGGTATTGTTTGTCCCCTGTGGCTCTTGAGTATGCTTTCATTTCTCATCAGACCAAAGTAATCCTTCCAGAATCTACTGTAGAGCTGAATAAATTCCCTTAATCCATTTTTAATCACGGAAAAAATTTTATTTCTCCTATATTTTTGAGGGACTGATTTTCTATTTTAAAAAGATGCTTGTCAACATTTAGTCAAAATATTTGCACTGCAGGGTTCTCTTTTCCTTGACTGTCTCCAAAGAGACCAAAGGAAAAGAAAGTACAAATAAGCCAGTAAGCTGTACGCTGTCCACCTAGCAGACCTCAAAGAAACCACCTGAACATGGCAATTGGATAGGAACCTTGAAAAATCAGCACACACCAGCACACAGACTGCAAAGAATTCTCACAGCTAGGGGGGTGGCCAAAGTAACTCAACCCCACAAAAGCAAAATTTTAGAATCATAAAAAATTAAAAAGTTTGTAGTAAGCTATTCAAGATTGCTCTAGCTCTGACTGATACAAAATGCAGTGAGATGGAAGTATAGAGAAGGCAGCTTCAGCAAAGTGCGATGAGATGAATTATGAAAAACATAACTTCTCTTTTTCCCTTGGGGGTCAGATGAAGACTAAGCGATCATTTCAACACTAAGGGGTAACATGATCCATTTTGTGAGTCATCAGGAAAAGGGTAGGATAAGACCAGTTTGGTCTCAGGGCTGGGCCTGAAAGGTAGCATGATTCCCTAACATGCAAAAGGCCCCAGGACATAGGGCTGTCTCAAACATTTCACTGTCTTAATCTTGTGACACTAATGAAAAAAAGCAATAAGTACAAATTAGGACAAAGTTTTTCAACGTTATCAAAGCTGAAAATCACCGTGTCCAGGAACAGTTGTTTGTTTTAAGCTAACTTTCTAGAATCCGGTGGTGTTTGAGTAGGACTTGGTGCAGAGCACTGAGGTTTTCCACACTGGAGCCTTTGCCTGGCCTCTGCTGCCCTTAAGTAAATCAGCATTATCCTCCTCTGTGGAGAATATAGAACCTTTAGGCAGCAAAATCACAATCCGACCATGAGAAGGACCTGGACTGCCTCTTCCAGGCTGTGAAAGTGCTTGCAATGTTATAATAAGAGTTACTGTATTTCTTCAACCATGTTAGCAAAGGTGCTCAGCTCCTCCCAGTTGTAGCTCCCTGAAGTTTGGTGGAAAAGACCTGAGGAAGGGGTGGAGAAGGTAGCCTTCACTTAAAAAATCAGCCTCAGGTGGTGTCAAGGTTAGAGGGGGGGAGTAGCAGGGCTTGCAGAGCTGTGCTGCTCCTTCAGCTGTGCTTAAGAGTGGGTGCACTGTGGTGCACCTCAGCTTCACTTCCAGTGCATCAGCACAGGTCTCTGTCTCCTTTATGTCATTACCAAGCATCCTTATTTCTTTATAGTTGTCTCCTTTTTGAGAGTGTTTCTTCAGTGGCACTCAGACACTTAAGATTGTGCCCCATCAGTCTGAGTGGCTCATCCAGCTCCTTCCTCTGTGTGTCCCAAGTCTCCTTCAGTAATCACCAACTTAGAAGTCAATTCCTCATACTTCCTGTCTGCCTCTTCTTCAGTGTGCTTAGCTTCCTTTAGCTAGATGTTCCGGAGTTCCTCCTTCATCTTTTAAAGACCTTCAAAATGGTCTCACATCTACAGCTTTTTCTGCTTCCTCCAGCTTCCACAGAGCAGTGGCCAGGTACTACTGAGCATAGTCCAGCTGTCCTTCAGCTAGATGAATCCTATGTTAAATGAGACCACCTCAGTTTATACCCATACCCTCTTTTTTCTATTAAATTTTTATTTTTTGCATTAATTACAGTTTATTTGCTTTGTATCCCAGCCATAGCCCCTTCCCTTAGTCTCTCCCAATCCCACCCTTCCTTACTCAACTCCTCCCATGCCCCTCTCCAAGTCCACTGGTAGGGAAGGTCCTCCTCCCCATCCATCTGACCCTAGCCTATCAGGACTGGCTGCATTGTCTTCCACTGTGGCCTGGCAAGGCTGCTCCCCCCTCAGGGGGAGGTGATCAAAGAGCCAGCCATTGAGTTCATGTCAGTGTCAGTCCTTGTTCCCCTTACTAGGTAACCCACTTGGATACTGAGTTGCCATGGGCTACATCTGAGCAGGGGTTCTACGTTATCTCCGTGAATGGTCCTTGGTTGGAATATCATCTTTTCAGGCCCTTCTGGTTTTAAAGTTTTATGACTAATAATCTGGTATTATTCTAATGAACCTACTTGTTCAAGAGCCTTGACCTTCCGCCCCTCCAGCTTTCAGTGCCCTTTCTTTTTGTTTTTCGTGATTAAACTAATCTGTCATGAGGAAGTTTTTCTGTTGTTGTTTTATTTTCTGGCCCTGTCTATTTGTGTTCTATGTGACTGTTGTATCTAGATATACATCTTTTTTTTTTTTTTTAATCTAGATTTGGAACATTTTCTTCTCTGATTTTATTAAAATTAATTTCTATGGCTTTAGTATGTTTTTCTTCTTCTATGCCCATAATTCTAAATATTCCTGGTGTTCCAAAGTTCTCTGATATCCATTCACATAATAAAAATAATATCAGTGACCATTACTGGGTGATCCAATTTCTCTATCTTGTCTTCCAGTAGCAATACTGTGTTTTCCACATGGTCTATGCTATTAGTGGAGCTTTCCATTGAGCTTATTTAATTATTGTGTTTTTCATTTCCAACTCATCTCAATTGAATTTTTCTCCAGCAATTCTATTTCCTTATTGAATTCTGTTTTCATATCTTGGAGTGACTTCTGCATTTTATTGGTTCTTTGCTTTTGTTCTTCTGGTGTGTGTTCATATCTTTTCTGAGTTGTTCAAGCATAGCTATGATCATTCTTTTGAACTGAATTATTGGAACTTCTTTCAGTTCGTTTTCATTGGGAACCATTTTATCTGATTAGTATGTTTTTGAGGTAACATGTTGTCTTGGTCTTTCATTTTTGTTTTGGTCTGGGCGTCAGAGTCATTTTTTTTTTGTTGTTGTTAGAGTTTCTCTTTTCCTTTATTCCCTTTCTTCCTTTCTTTTCTCCTTTTGTTCTTTCTTTCAAGCCACCTTCTTCCTGTGGAGGCTTCTACAATGTTCAGTGGGATAAATTGCACATGAGTTGGGCTATTTACTTCTGTGCCTAACACTCCCCTCCTAAGAAAGGAGTTATTCCTGGAAGGATTGGTATACTCTGAGAAAGACCTTTAATGTGTGAAATGTTGGCAGAATAATGCTGGGAAAGGCAGAGAAGAAAAGACAAAGTGTGTGGAGAGCAGCATATAAACATATTTAAATGGCATTACTAAATAGGGATGTTGACCTTCGAGGAGAATTTGTATTTTAAGCCCACCACCTCAGATTCCCTACTTATTTACTACTTGGGCAAGGTGGGTGGTCAAATTTCTTTTTCACTCACCATATCTGTGGCCATCTTATAATTTATAGAAAGCCATGAGACAAAGATTAGAACTGTATCTCTTCTCATATTTAACTAGTTCTTTCTTATGAATAATGGGGACCTGGGATCCATGCTGCCCTCATTATCTCCAGCTTGTTATAGAGTTAGCTCTTCTGTGAAGTCTGGGTAAAGAAAAGGGAGATCTTAGAGATCCCCTAGGTTTTAAAGTGGCATATATTCATTGTAATTTTAAAGTATGTTGAAGATTAACTTGAAGATATAAAATGTTCTGAATTTACTACTTAGAAAAATAATCTGCCAGATATTTAGAGAAATTTAAAAATTAAAATGAAGAGTAAAAATCAGATCATTAGGTATATTAGATGAAGTTCAGAATGTTGAACAACCTCAGTTTTACATTAAGTGAATGTTTTATTTGACCTAATTGTCATTATAACATTTATTTCAGTACTTTCTTGTGCAGTGTTAATTACACTGATTCTTTTTTACTTAGCTGTCATGATGACTTCTTCTTTTTGTTACTACTACATATTAATTGAACATATTAATGGGGTTCATGTGACTCACAGCATGCACTGATAAAACCCAAGCACCCTTTTCCCACAGTCCCATAACTCAGGAGTTAGAATATGCTTTCAAAGTAAATCATTCTCCAAAGGGTTTCTATGAAGTGCTTTCTGTAGAACTCCTGGTTCTTGTCCTTGGTGAGGGAAAAATTTGATAGAGAGTCTCATTGTAGTCTGATCTGGCCTCAGAGGCACTATCATGTAGCTGAGAATGTCTTTAAACTCCTGACACTGCTGTGTCCATCTACCAGGTGCTGGGATCACAGGCATAAGCCACCACACTGGCTCCTGATTTCTATTTCTGTATTTAAAACGGGGTTGGTGACAGACTATTCCTGTTGTCCTGTTTCTGCCACATCATGTGGTGCTCCTTCAGTGGGGATCTGATTAACTGGTTAGATTCTCAATTGCTTGATGAGGAAAAAAAAAGAATTCTAGAAAATTAGAAAGGAGACATAAAACCAGAAAAGTAATCAATTACTGTGGGGTCATAGAGAAGAAATGATTTGCGGGAGAAGCATAAGAAAAGCAGTTACATTAGCTTGAGATACAAAGAGGACTGACACTAGACTGGGATAGACTGGTGTGAATGGGAACTGGGAGTGACTGGAATAGTAGTGTATATTGTGTCTTTTCTTCTCTAAGAGTAAAATGTGACTCACCATGTCAGGCCAGTTAACACAATAATAAATTTCAACCTGTTTTATGGATTTTTCCACACTAATTTTTGTGTCTTTTTGCTTTCAGTGGTTTCAGTTTTCTGAAATAAATTATACTTTTTGTTATTTTTATGTTGTCCATTTCAAAGTACAGGGTCTTTGTAGAAGATATTTTCTGTAATTATAAAATAACATCCTCAAGATAGTAATGCTTTTCTTTGGGGGGTGGGAATCATTCCAGGCATAGCGCTTTTGTACCTGCAGTTGTACCGGGTCACTGGTGACCAGACCTACCTGCTTCGATCCCTGGATTACGTGAAGAGAACACTCCGAAATTTGAGTGGTCGCAAAGTCACTTTCCTTTGTGGAGATGCTGGGCCCCTTGCTGTGGGAGCGGTGATATATCATAAGCTCAGAAGTGAATGTGAGTCCCAGGAGTGCATCGCCAAGTGAGTTTTAGAAATTGGAAATGTCTCCAAATGTTTCATTGAAGAAGTACTGTGGAAAAAGGTTCAGCAGTTAAACTATTTTCTAATCTGCAGTTGCAAACAGGTCTCTCTCAAAAGTGAAGTATGTTGGTCTTACTGGTAGGATCATGTGGTCTTTTTCCATATAAACATGAGTGTGTCAATTTCAGTGGGGCTTTATTAATCATTTCCAAACAATTTTTGGTTGTCTTCAATGCATGAAAGTGAGTTCACGTTCATGAAAATAGTTTGAGAGCAACTAATCCTGAGATCAGTCTTTAGTTCTTAGTTATGGCGATGAGAGAATGATGATAGACTATGAAGGTTTCGCGGTGGTCAGTTTGTATTCTTGAGTAAGCAGGAAGCAAGGTCCCTCCCTTGATCTGGTAGAGTAGCTGGCATGTGTGGATGTATGATGTTGAAAGATGAAGTGACTTAGTCTTGCCTAAGCAGTACCCACATCTCAATTCCATCTTTACTTAGATTTTACACCACTTTCTTCTAACAATAGATTTTAAAGTGTTAACTCTGTTTTCACTGTATGGTTTAGAGTAATAAAAAGGTGGAAATTTGGGGCTGAAAGAATTTTTTTCAGAGCTGGAGATTGAGTTCAGGACTTCATATACTTTTAACACTGACATACATTTTTAACCCATATATTTTTATTCTTAATTTGTTAATTTGAAACAGGAACTGAAAGAGGTTCTAATTCTTTTATGAACTTGGGTTTATTTTTAGTCATAATTGAGACATTTTCAGACATTTTGAAGGATAACCCTTTGTCCTGTTGCTTAGACTTCTACAGATGCATAGAACCATTGTCAGTCAAGAATCAGAGCTTCCTGATGAGCTGTTATTTGGACGGGCAGGTTACCTGTATGCTTTACTGTACCTGAACACAGAGATTGGCCCCGGCACTGTTGGTGAGACAGCTATTAAAGAGGTATTGTGGGCCTGCTGGACCTACTGTTAGCATACAGTTATGTTAATACTCAGCCTCTGCTTCTAGGTGGGATTAATTTACTTCATTTTATTTTAATTTTTTGTTTTTTCGAGACAGAGTTTCTGTGTGCAGCCCTGGCTATACTGAAACTCACTCTGTAGACTCGGCTGGCACCGAACTCACAGAGCTCCGTTTGCCTCTGCCACCCAAGTATTGGGATTAAAGGTTTGTGCTGCCACCGTCCAGTGGGATTAATTTTTAAAGCATCTCCTAAAATGTATATATATTTTAGAAATAGTTATCTTTTTCTCAAACATCTTTGATTGGTTAGGTTGTGTTTCACTGGAACTATACAGTTCAACTTCATAGTGTTAGAATAAGATGACTATGATTTGGTGTCCATACTCTTTCATTTTGTTCTCCTGTCCTCTACGTATACCCTTGTCCACATAACCAAATAGAGCTTGACATCCTTAGCCTGCTTGCAAAGGGAAAAGAAACACTTCCTTTGTCAGGAAAGTTCCCTTTGTCAGGATTCCATTTACAAGGTGCTCACTTTAAGGTCTGCTCACATCTCATTCCAACAACTTAGATAACTGGCTAGAAGGCCAAATACCCATCTAAAACCTGCAGCACTTTACTAAAGTGAGTCTTTACCACATAGTTGTTTCGGACGTTAGACCATAACACAGAAGACCACAGAAGATCCTCCCTCATCAATGAAGCTACTGTGTGCACCCTATCTTGAAGATGATTTTCTACCCTTTAGGGAAAATGTTACAGCTATGAAGCAAGTACAAAGTTTGGAATAGTTTTTAATAGAAAGGCTCAATAAAATTTAGTCAACTTTTCATACTAAGAACTTGAATTATATTGGTAGAGTTCTTAATATGTATTTCTCCTTAAGCATTATTTCTTCTTTGTCTGAATTTATTAAATAAAAGCAATTGTTAGATAATGGCTGCTTAAAATTTGATTTAATATGCCCATGCACTAATGTTAATTAGAGTAGATGAAGATGCTTGAAAGTTGTTTTGATTTCTTATGTCTCCTTGTCTCTATAGGTAGTCACTGCCATTATTGAGTCAGGAAAGACTCTGTCAAGGGAAGAAAGGAAAACTGAGCGCTGTCCCCTGTTATATCAGTGGCATAGGAAGCAATATGTTGGAGCAGCCCATGGTATGTCTGGCATCTACTACATGTTAATGCAGGTATGTGACAATTCTGTGGGATAATAAATATAATAACCATATTACAGTATATTAGACCAATATGAATGGGGGATTAAATTCTTCATAGAGACAAAATAGGCTGAGTTAATGGTTCCTACTTTGACCCACAGATAATTAACTTTACTTTACAGCAATGAATTCCTAAAAGTATATAATTCTGTATATAATTTGTATCAGAGTAGTTGTATATCACCCACAGCTTCCTTCTGTCCTCATCCTGCTGATTGAGACAGGAACTCCTTAATGGAGGTTATGTGTTTTGGATGCAGACACTTAGGTTGGTTTTGTTCTTTAAGATAAATACAAATTGTAAAAACTTTACTTCTTTGCTTTTAAGATGAAGTACATAAAAGCACTGTGTAGTAACTGTTATATTTAGAAACATCTGCCAGCTTTTATAGACATAGCTAAGTACTGTGATGGAGCTGGCTTGTTCCCTTTACAGAGGTGGCTAAATGGTGTGATGAAGCCTGTATTGAGAGCTGAATGTACATATTCTCTGTCTACACCACATATTCTATGGCCTCTGTACTCTACCATATGTTCTATGGTCATGCCATCTATTGGTTGTCATTTAGAAGGCTGTCAGTGTAGTCTATATGAAAATACTTCCAATTACATTTGAAAAATGGAAATCCATTTTTGCAGTGGCAGGACAAAAAGTTGTCTTACAACTTTTTTTTGTTTTTTAAATAACAGGAAGAACAAAAAACAGAAATTCTAATTCTTTGATGAAACTGGGAGAGATATAGGAGCCCAAAATGAAAAGATGTAAGCTGAAATAAATTAAAAAATGGCATATGACCTAACAGGGCAGAAACCCACACAGAAATGCCTGAGGAGACTGTCAGCAAGAAACCAGCTCATTTCTCCTGAAGAACCATAGAACTGGTGAAACGTTAGTGACTTGTACCACAGAAGCTGCATCAGGCATATATCTATCTGTGTCGAGGTGAAGGCACTGTAGTGGAGGAAGGGGCTCCTTTAACTATCTCTAAGGAGCCTTTAGACCTGTTAAACTTTTCCTTTCAGTGATTCCTACTAGCAACAGAAGGAATTGGGTTTGATAAAACAGAAATGACCTATGTTAATAAGAGAAAGCCAGGCTAGAAGAAAGCAAAGGGAGTTGAATTCCACATGTCACGTGGGATCATATGTTGCACTGTTGGCCTCAGACACTTCCACCTCTCTCTCTCACACAACAATGGGCAGTACGGCCTCTATCCCAGACAAAAGATGAAAACTTCCTTTTGGAGACAATGATTTAGTAATTTTCTGTTGTTGCTGTGTCACTGGGCTCTCACTCTTTACTCCTCTCACTTCCCGAAGTCATTGTGATCTATTGAAAACCTTCAGATCAGACACATACAAAATGTAGTATAGGTACATTATTTCAGAGAGGAGCATACACTCAAATTATAAAATGGCAGAGGGGCTATCTGCATTTTAGTTAGGTTTTATACTATTTCTAAAGTCTCTGGGTCAAACAGCTTTCCCAAGGGCCTTTTGTCCTATTTCATCCCTTTAAAGAGGGAACAAAACCATAGCTGTGTTATTTATCAAAAAGCTTCCTGTTAAACAATAATCTTATGATGTTTAGTGCTCTAGAAGCCAGGTCTAGAGAGTTATCAGTCAGGGAACTTGAGGACAGTTCAGGATGCCATGTCTCTTCCCTGAGATCCTATTCCTCTGACCTGTTACTAGAGTCCTGAGTTCTAGTCCTGAGCTTTACAAGCTATTGTTTAGAGGAAAAAGCCCAGCCCCAATGGCCTGATCCTGCTTATATTTAACTAGCTGCCTAATAGCTGTGATAAAATCTCAGCAAAAAGCAACTTAAGGATGAAAGGACTTACTTGACTCGGGGTTCATGAAGATACAAGCCATTCCAGGTGAAGATAGTATGGTGCTGGGAACATGAGGGGAAAGCATGATGCTGAGGAACATGAGGCATCAGCAGAGAGTTCAGACCAGGAGCAAAGGCTACCCCTCAATGACTCACTTCCTTCAGCTAGGGCATACCTCTTAAGGGTTCTAGGGCATACCTCTTCAGGGTTTCAGGACTTCCTAAAACAGCTTGACCAGCTTGGGTGGTGGGGTACTTTACATTTCAGAACATGACACATACCTATCCCAGATAAAAGATGTATAGACAATAGGTATTTTCAAGACCTCATTAAAAATACTGGCTGTGCATCTGTAATGCTTAATTTTATGCTTACTTTTACCCTGAGCCATCACAGCTAGGTACTTAGTTAAACTTATCCTGGACATTTCTTTGAGGTTATTTTGAGACGAGTTGAGATGTTCATTTAAATTGTTTCACTTTGAACAAAGCAACTTTCTCTTCAGAATAGTCAATTGAAGTTCCAAAAACAACAAAAGACTGACTTCTGGCAAGGAAGAGGTTGTTTCTGGGCTCCTGCAGGCTCCAGACTCTAACTGCACACATGAGCACTTGTGCTCACCTACCACTGATTACCTCTAGATTACTGGGACACACAGCACCAACCTCAGACCCACAGAAGCCTGAGAGCCAAGGTGCAACCAGTTATCCCCAGCTAAACTGAGGAAACTGCAGGGCTTCCTGGTTCTTCAAGACAGCTGTGCCCAGGAAACACAGCATATGAGCAGCAACAATAGTTGACTATTTTCAGAGCAAGAAACCCAGCAGCAGGGCAGCTGTCTCCAGGACTTCTCCTGGTGTGAGGAGAGCAGTTACCACAAAGGTCCATACAACTGAGGTGAACTGTGGCAATTCCTGAGAAGCACCGCCATTCAGTAGACCATACCAAAAAGTGGAGAAAGCCTCCTTCAGAATCCTGCTAAGGGAATTCTCCCCATCCCAGGACCCCAGCAGTCACCAGAAATTAACAGCCAACACTTGAGACAGCCAGATGGGTAGAGGCCAGTGTAAAAGCACAACCAACAAAAGGCAAAGCAATATGACATACCCAGAACCCAGTTATCCAGGGGCAAGCAACCCTGGACAGTGAAATTCAGGAAGATGACCTTACATCTATGCTTATGAAGAGGTTAATGGAGGAAACAAATGAAATGCGTAAAGAATTAGAGGAAGATAAAGTTAAACAGATTATGGCCATCCGTAAAGAAATATAGGAAGATGTAGCCAAACAGTTTGTGGCTTTCAGAGAGAAAATGATTAAATCATTGAAAGAAATAAAAGAAAGAGAGGAATGTTCAAATAAACAGCATTGAAGGAAAATACAGTCACACAGGTGAATGAAATCAACAAAACGGTGCAAGATCTGAACATAGAATTGGAAAAATTAAAGAAAACACAAACAGAGGAAATCATGGAGAGGGAGAACTTAGGAAAGGAAACAGGAACTACAGAGGTAAGCATAACCAACAGACTACAAGAAGTGGAAGAAAGAATCTCAGGTGTGGAAGATACAATGGAAGAAATCAATGTATCTGTCAAAGAAAATAAGAAATCTAAAAAATTCCTGACACAAACCATCTAAGAAATCCAAGACAACATGAAAAGACAAAACCTAAGAATGATACAAATAGAGAAAAAAAGATTCCCATCTCCAAAGTACAGAAATATTTTCAACAAAATCATAGAAGAAAATTTCCCCAACTTAAAGGAGAGGCCTATAAGCTTACAGGAGGCCTACAGAACACCTAATAAATTAGACCAGAAAAGAAAATCCTCCCGCCACGTAATAATCAAAATGGAAAGTATACAGAACAAAGAAAAAAAATACTAAAAGCTGCAAGGGAAAAAGGCCAAGTAACATACAATGGCAAACCTATCAGAATCACACCTGACTTCTAAACAGAGACTATGAAAGCCAGAATGGCCTG